GGGAAAGAGAAGTTATTAAGGCTGCAAACCTGATCTAGCAACGTGACTCCAGGCTTGTGAAAGGCAGAGGAGATGAACAGGTGTTCCTTTTCAAAAAAATAAAAAAAAAAAAGAGAGAGGGGAAAAAAGAAAAATTACTTTCTATAGAATTAAAAATAGAGCTCATTAACTTTAATAAACATGGCTGTTACGAATGATGAGTTAGCTGTAGCTCACTGATGGTTTGCATTTTATAAGTTGCAGTTGAATGAACTACAAGAAAACCCCAAACCACCAAAAGCATACGTGGGCTGTAAATGTTGATAAATGATGTGTAATGAGAAGTCTGATAGTCTGCCTCCCCCCATCCAAAACCTAAGAAGTTTTGGGGGAATAAGGGTCACCTCCTTGAGATGCCTTTCATGACCGTTTTAATCCAGGCCTGCCCAAACATACTCAGCTAGATTCCCAAGCATGTTACACTCCAAAAAACTGGCTGCATCTTAAGCAAAGATCTGTGAGGTCTGAGCCCTGGGCGCAGCGTGGAGCCCCTCCGTTTCTCGAGCGAGACAGGCTGTCAGCCGGGGCAAGCCTTGCCGGTTTTTATCTTTGACCTGTGCCTTGGTGGCAGTTTCCTGGCAGCATTATTTTGCAGAATGAGGTTTGCCCGTGATGTAAACAGGATGTGTCCATGATTGTCTCTTGTTTTAAATGCAACATGTGTATGAACGTTGAGCTAAACCATGATATTTTTTTTTTCCCCTCCCTCCCCTGTCCCTTCTCTCCCCACCCCTAGCGAACAGTGCTGAGTAAGGGAGAGACAAGGAAAGACGCCTGCATGAAGACTGAGCTGCTGAAAGATATCACCAACAACAAAGAGGAAGGTGAGCACCTGCCTCGATTGAGGGCTGGACCTTGCTCGTGAGGTCGGCATGTGATGAGAACAAAACTGGAGGCTTGGAGATGTGTTCTGTCCCCTGAGAGCCTCAGGTGCGCTCCCACAGAGTGGCTCTGTTCTCCTGTGTTTATTCTGAGCAGGGCTCTTCCCCAGAAGATGCAAATTTGCTTTTCAGTCCATCCATCGCCACCCACCTGAAGAATGATATCTAATTTTCACTTCTGCTTTGGTGTGGCTGTGAAGCGCAAAGGAGTTACTTTGAACCTCCTCTGTGTGACTGGTTTTAACTGAACTCTGATCCCCACCACATGATGACCTAGACCTTTTCCTCCCTCTATTAAAGTTAACTTTCTGTTTTCCTGTGAGTTTCTCCGTTGCTCCAAAACAGGCACGATGGCTGCAGGATGGCTGGTGGGGTTAGACACTCCTCACTTTGTGCCGTTGTGCGATGCTTCGTGGCTTCTGTGTTGTTTCTGCTTGATTTTACATTGCAGGATGCAGCGCACGTGTTAATTTGACAAAGTCTTTCCTGCAGGGTTGCCTGTGAGTTGCACGCACACAAACCTGAGGGCTTAATAAATGTGTCGGTGGGATTAGGAAAAAAAAAAACCACCACCACCCTTCATCTTTTCCCCCCTCCTTTCTTTCCATGGCTTTATTATTCCTTGACTAGTTACTTCTCATAGCTCTGCAGGGATTTGGTGTATTTTGCTCTTCTTTCCATAATAGAGCATTAGAAAAGCACTGAACTGGTTTCATCAAAATACCTAGTCTTACCTAGAAACAAAATTTTGGACTTAATTCAGATGCATGTGAGTACAGCATTGCTTTTTCTTTCTCTTCTGTCTAGCATAATGTTTTGTCAAGCTGCTCTAGTTAGAAAGTAAAGCTCAGAACAGGCAAAATATTGAATGCTGTGTCAGATGTGGCCACGGTGCTTGCATATTAACTGGGAGCATGTGAGAGCTGCCGCTGGTTGCGTGTGGACCTCTGGTCTGGGCAAACCAGAGACGAAGTCTGAGATGTCGGTGGGAGGTCGCATTGCTCTGGGAGGAGACTCTCACTTTAATCCCTTGCCTTGCTTGGCTCAGGAGTATCAAGCTAGTTTATGTAGCTCTTGGTTGATCTTAAGGTAAGTGTCAAGAGTCTGTGGAGGTAAAAATCCAGAAGGAGGGTGGGAAGAGAAACATTTCTGCACCTTGTATGTCTTGACTGATTTGGACTTAAAGCAAATGCTGTGTAGCAAAAGGAAGCTGAGAACCCTCCCTCAGCAGGAGCAGTCTCGAGGCTTCATATTCCACTCACTTCAGCTTATCGTCCCGTTCTGTTTCTGGGGAAAGAAGCGTCCTAAAATGTGAACGGCAGAGTCTCCATTCTTGTGGCAATGTTCAGATTGTATCCTTCTCTCCCCAAGCATACCATGTGTCTAAAAGACAATGGTTTGCATGGTGGTTGTGCTGTACGTGTTGTTCTTTGCTGACCTTTGCTACCCAGCTGTGATTGTTGTAGGAGTTCGATTAGTTAATGTCCCTAAATTCTGCTAATAATAGTGTTTAGTGTTGGCAAAGAATTTACATTTTTGAGTGTTGCGTGAACATGAAATCATTACAGCAGACTTGCAAGACGGCATGAAATTGTTTCTTTGAGCCCTGTTTCCTGACTCGGGGATGGGTGGAAGTGTACAGAGCTGGGATGCGTGGACTGGAAAAGCGCCCCAAAATCTGAGATTTCTCTCTTTAAGTTTGCTTGAACAGTCATTTTCCTTTAGCGAGGAGGATGGGACCAGTACTGTTTAGTATCTTCATCAGACATAGGCAGTGGGATCGAGTGCCCTCTCCCCAAGTTTGCAGTCAACACCAAGCTGAGTGGTGCGGTTGACACGCCTGAGGGACGGGATGCCATCCAGAGGGACCTGGACAGGCTGGAGAAGTGGGCCTGTGTGAACATCATGAGGTTCAATAAGGCCAAGTACAGGGTCCTGCTTCTGGGTCGGGGCAATCCCTGGTACCAATACAG